TAAGAGAAGATATTTAGTTTTAAGATGTTTGATAAAAAAAAAATTAAGTTAATTATTATGTGAAAAAAAAAAAATGCTACACAATAGCGAACTAAGGAAGTTTTTAAGAAAATGTATATTTAGTCAAACAAATATAAACTTTTTTTAATATAAAGTTGTAATATACTATGTTGCATAATAAAGTGATTAATGATAGTTTTCCCATTCATTCACTTAACCATTAATTAATAACATATTTTTTTTCAAAAAAATTAAAAGTTACAGAACAGCAAATTTATAAAAAAAATCGTAATATGTAGTCGAGTGATTTTTTTGTGATATATTCTTGCTAATGTAGATGTGTTTTATTTTTAATTTTGTATTTTATATATTTTTATAAATATATAAAATATTATTGATTATAATTGTGTTGATAAATTTGTGTGCAACAGTGCAAGCCTTATTGTTTTAAGCTAGAGTCTCAAATAAATCAATAGATGAAGGACAAACAATACTAGACACACATATTGAATATTTTACGTATCATCTTTAGATGTATTTGAGATTCTTAAAAAATGATCAAATATCACCGGATAAGATTTTTAATGAGAATGTTAGAAGTTGAATGATGAGGTGGTTAGTATGATTGTTGTTGCGTTCTGGAATATTCGTGGTAGTAGAGAAATATATAGTTTAATGTCTTAGCATTCTATGAAGATCTAACACACAAGCAGATAAGAGAGAGGATGTAGCTTTCATAAGGGACGCTAGAGTTTTTACGTGGAAACCCCTGAAAAAGGGGGAAAACCCACGGAGCCTAGCCTAGTTTGAATGAATCCACTAGTATTTGCATTCGATTGCAAATGAGGCTCTTCCTTGGGAGAAGGCATTTGCTTGATGTCACAAATGTACATCATATAGAGCGCATTACATGATGGGAGTTATAATAATCAACATATACATGTTTGCTTAGTCGGCAGGACCATTGTTTATAGGATAGAGGTCGGAAAGACCATAGTAGGCAGGAGACTGGGGTCAGAAAGATCATTGTCTGGCGGTGTAGGTCGGAAGGACTAGAGTATGCAGGAGACCTAGGTTAGAAAGACTGTTGTTTGGCAATGTTGGTCGAAAGGATCATAGTAGGCGACGAAGATCGAAAGGACCATAATCGACAGGAAACAGGGATCCAAAAGATCGTAGTTGACCAGAGATCGGCGTCATAAAGACCATTGTAGCAAGGCGATATTCTAGTAGAACTTTGGGTGTTATGTGGTGATCCGATAGAATCGGGCGTCAAATGGTGGTCTGAGAGAAGTATGGGCCTCAAGTGGTGGTCTGATAGAAGTTCAGATATTATGTGGTGGTCCGGCGGAGGTGAGGGCCTAAGTGATGGTCTGGTGGAGCTAAGTGCCTCAGGTGGTGGTCCGATGGAACAACGACGTCAGGCGGTGGTCCGGCGGAACAACGACGTCAGGCGGTGGTTCGGTGGATGTGAGGGTCTTAAGTGGTAGTCCAGTAGAGCTTAGGGCCTCAGGTGGTGTTCCAGCAGAGCAACGATGTCTAACGGTGGTCTGGCGGAGCTCAAGGCCTCAAGTGGTGGTCCGATGAAGCTCAGAGCCTCAGGTGGTGGTCTAACGAAGCAACGACGTTAGGCGGTGGTCCAGCTGAGGTTAGGGCCTTAAGTGGTGGTCCAGCGGAGCTCAAGACCTCAGGTGGTGGTCCAGCGGAGCTCAACGCCTTAGGTGATTGTCCGGCGGAGCAACGATGTCAAGCGATGGTCCGGCGGAACTTAGGCGGTGGTCGAGGAGGAGCTTCTTCCTTCTCTTCCTTCCCTTCTTGCTTGGATCCCCTTTCAAGAGAAATGAGGGATCTATTTATAGATTTTTAGAGTGGCATGGCCCGTAAATAGGTGAGAGATCAAGGGTAAATGGGGAGTGGTTGGATGGACAACCGATACTAAATCACTTGATCGTGGACTGTTCCTCAGACATTTGAAGGACTTAATGATGTAGGAATTCAGTGATCTTGGGCTCGTTGGATTCGTCTCGTCGAGCCGCTCGATTCGACTATAAGCAAGTCATGTTTGGAACCATTTGGTAACCCAAATTGTGGTTCAAACCTTCCAACATCGCTTCGGGTCCTTGATTTGGACTCATTTGTGCTCGGATTGAGTTGAATTTGGTTTCGTTGAGTTCATATTTCTAAGACGTTCTGTTTGACTGTAAGTTTGCTGAAATCGGAGTTCGGATGGTCCCAAATTTAATTTCAAAAGTTTCCAACTTGATTTTTCCTCGAGATTCGTGCCTGATCAAGATAATTTTTGGAGGGCATATCAATTGTACGTAATCAAGGAAACCGTTGACTATAAATTTTACTATGCAAATGCTCTTTTTTGGCTTAACTTATTAACAATTTTACTAATAGATTATGGTGTAGGTGTGCAACTCTTTAGAATAGAGGTATTGTTTCAATATAATAGTGTGGACCTCCGAAAGAGCACCGCTACAGCTGCAGGATTGCAGAGGGGTATACGACCGCATTCACCCCGAAGGATAGAGACGATCGCAGGCCTCCGCGTTCCTTGAAAACGGGCCAAGTAGAAGGGACAGATTGGACCATACATATGATTATATTAATTTCAAATTTTTGTTTGTATTTCTTTTTTGATTTTATAAAAGGTATACTCATCTTCTCAAATGGTTTTATAAAATTCTAATTCTTTAAATGTACCAATGATGTTTTAAACTAACTCTTGCATCCTGAAATATTCGTGATGATAAATAAATATAAAGTTTAACGTCTTAATTGTATATGAAGATCCATTACACAATCAGATAAAAGAGAGGGTGTAGTGTTCATAAGAGAGACCAGAGTTTTTACGTGGAAACCCCTAAAAATAAGGGAAAACTATGGGGTTTGTCCCAGTTTGAATGAATCCACTAGTGTTTGTGGCCAATTACGAATGAGGCCTTTCCTTGGGGAGAAGGCCTTGGCTAGATGTAACAAATATATATCATATAAAATGAATTACATTGTGAAAATTAGAAGAATTAGTATTCACCTGCTTGCTTGGTCGACATGATCATAGTTGGAGCACGACGGAGGTCGGAAAGATCGTATTTGGCTGACGGTAGTTGGAAGGACTGTAGTCGGCGTGCAACACTAGTCAGAATGATCGTTGTCTGGCGACAAAGGTTAGAAAGACCGTCATCTAGCAACATAGGTCATATGGACCGCAGTCGGCGAGTGACGGAGGTCAAAAGGACTGTTGTCTGGTGGTGGAGGTCGAAAGGATCGTAGTCAGCTAGCGATAATGGTCAGAAAGATCGTTGTCTAGCGAAGGAGGTCGAAGAACAATAGTTGACGAGCGACGGAGGTCAGAAAATTTGTCGTCTGACAAAAGTGGTTAGGAATAGGGCTGCAAGCGAACCAAACGTTCGACGAGCTACTCATTATTCGATGATTAAAGCTCATTTGTGATCGTTTAATTAATTAAACAAACAAACTTGAACAATATTTTAAATACTCAATTCTTAAATAAGTAAACTTGAACACTAATGCGTTCGACTCATTTATGTTCGCGAACAACATCATTTGAAGTTCGTGAACAAGCTCAATAAAAGCTCGATTTGTGTGATTGCTGCAGGTATTAAATACTACTTAACTTGTTGTCTAATTAATTGTAGCTTTATATGGCTATTTATTTATAAATCATTACATTTATTAATGTTGCTGTTAGGAAAATTCTGTGAAGATGGGATTTGCTTATAAATCATTGACTTCGTTCATAGATATATTCATGAACGTGTTTGTTTGACAGTTAAAAAAAATTCGTTAAATATGTTCGCAAACATGCTCGATGTAATCGTTTAATAGAAAGCTCGATAAAGCTCGTTTGTTAAGTTAATGAACATCTAAAAGTAGAGCTCGTTTATAGCTCGTTAATGTTTGTTTGTTTAAAGCTCGATAAGCACTAAACAAATGAACATGAACTGAACATGAACACTCGTTAATTTAAATGAACCAAACATGAACACAAACAATAAAGCTCGAATAAACATGAACCAAACTTTAACAACCTGATATTAAATGAACACAAACATGAACACTCACATACTCGGCTTGGCTCGGTTCATTTGCAGCCCTAGTTAGAAAGATAGTTATATGGTGACGAAGATCGTAAGGACCTTCAATAGTTAGTGGTCAGGTGTAAATCCAACATCAGTTGGTGGCCGGGCGAAAGTTCAGCATCGGCCAGTGTCCACGCAAAAGTTCTGTGTTAGTCGGTGGCCATACATAAGTCCAATAATAATTGGAAGCCATGCAGAAGTCTGTAAATGGTCTTGCGATGGTCGGTGGTCCGACGGTGGTCGAGAAGCATGGTGGCAATAGAGCTCTATTAATTTCTCTTTCATCATTCTCTTCATTCTCTTTCTTGCTTATGTCCCTTGCCTCATCCTTCCTTCCTTCGCTTAGGTCCCCTTCAATAGAATGGTCTATTTATAGTTTTCTGAGAGTGACATGACTATTAAATAGGAAGGAGGTCAAAGATATGTTGGGAGTGGTTTGAATGAACAGCTGATATCAACTCCTTTGATCATGGACCATTTATTGAGTATTTGAGTGCCTTCGTGATGTTAGAATTCGATGATCTTGGACTCGTTGGATTTGTCTTGTCAAGCCGCTCGATTCAACTATAAGCATGTCGTGTTTGGAAACCTTTTGGTCATCCAATTTATGATTTAAATCTTTTAAATGCGCTCGGATATTCGATTTAGACTCATTTGGGCTCAGATTGGGTCGAATTTGATGTCATTGGGCTCGTCTTTTCGGGACGTTCTTTCAACAATAAGTTTGCAAAAATCAAAATTCGAATGGTCTCAAATTTAATTTTGAAAGTTTTCAAATTAATTTTACCTTGAGATTTGTGCCCAATCAAGATAAATTTTGGATTATATATCACTAATCATATCAAATGACAAATGCATGGTAAAATTATATTAATTTTAGACAGTTAACAAACAGTTTGAGGGCAATGAAACAAACTGAATCAGATAGGATCATCAGCGTAATCTTATTTGTTGGGCCATATAATATTAAAAAAAATAAGGACTTGGACTAAAATTCGAATTGAATAGAGCTGAATAGCTTAACTCCTAAACCAAACAACCTGCTCCCCTACCGTTCACGCAATCACAGCCGTCAAATCCCTCCATCAATTCCTCCATCGGCCCATCATTTAATGCAATCCACCGTCGTCCCGTGAATCTCTTCACTCCCCAAGCCATGGCCCTCCGCCTCCTCCTCCTCCTCCTCCCTCTCTTAACCTCCACTCACTGTTCGTGCGACTCATTACATCGCCGCCTCCTTTCCCTCTCCTTCTCTTCCGTCGCCGGCTTCCAACCCCCTCCCGCATCGGCCACCGGCGACTGCATCCGCCACCTCCACCTCCCATCCCAAAACCTCTCAGGCACCATCGCCTGGATATTCTTGCGGAATATAACAACGCTGCAAACGCTCGACCTCTCCGGCAACGCCCTTGACGGCTCAATCCCCGGCAGCTTCTGGTCATCCCCTGCTCTCACCGAAGTCAATCTGGCCCGGAACAGCCTGGGCGGACCGCTCCGGTTCGAAAAATCTGGCCTCCGGTTCCTTAACCTCTCCGGTAACCGGTTCAGCGCCGCCTCCGACCTTTCCCAGCTCACCAGCCTGAAAGTCCTCGACCTCTCGCGGAACAAGATCGGTTTCACTCCACCTAGTCTGAACTCACTTCATAATATACAATATTTGGATTTATCTAACAACTCGATGACCGGGAAGTTTCCAAGGGACTTCCCGGCGATCGCCGGCCTCCGGTTTCTGAACGTGTCGTACAACAACCTCACCGGCGAGATTGATTCCGAGGCGTTGCATAAGTTCGGGAGCTCTGCTTTTGAAAAAGGTGGGATTTTTACCTACGCAGCGGCCTCCAGTGAGCAAACGAAAGGGAAAAAGCATGCAAAGTCGAGGGCTTGGAGGAAGGCAGTGATAGCAGCAGCGTCGGCGGTGGTCGGAGTGGTGATTGTTGGAGTACTGATTGCCGGAGCCTTTTTCTATCGTAGAAAGAGGTCGCCTGAGAAGGAGAAGGGGGAGATAGCAGAGGAGGAAATTGGGTGGGTGAGGGAAGCGAGGTGGGGAGCGCCGGTGGTGGTGTTTGAGAAGCCGTTAATGGAGTTAACGTTTGGGGATTTGGCGGGGTCCACTTCGGGGTTTGGGAGAGAGTCGTTAATGGCGGAAGGAGGGAGGAGTGGGCCGATTTACAGAGCCGTATTGCCGGGAGAGATGCATGTGGTGGTGAGAGTTATGGAGAGGGATCGAGGTATTGACCCGGCGGCGGCTGCGGTGGCGTACAAGGAGATTGGAAGGCTCCGGCACCGGAATTTACTCCCGCTACTCGGCTACTGTATTTCAGGTTAGTTTATTATTATTATTATTATTTTAATAAAGTCATAACTGCAACTTTTTTATTACTCATTTACTTAAAAATTCATATTGATTGATTTTAAAATATATATTTTAAAAATCATAATTCTCATTTTCAATTTTTAATAATAAATATATTCCCTTTTAATATAATATCATCTTCATGACTAGGTGACTTCTATATTGACAGATTTATTATTCAAGTATTTAAATTGACAACAAATTAAAATAAAATTTAATTTTATAATTATTAAATATTGACTTATTGACAATTATCTGATAATCAAAATAAAATTTTAAAAATATATATCATTAAATTAAATACAATATTTAAAAATTTTAATAATATAATGATCAAAATAATATTCTTATTCAAACATGATTATTACTATTTTGATAATTAGTATATAATACATAGAAAAATTCATTGCTTTTTATGTATAAAATAATTTCTAAATAATTCATTAACATATGTAGAATTCATCATTTAATTCATTTTTTTATACATTAGAAAATCAACTAATTCGAGTGATTTTCAAATATAGAGCATCACCTCACCTAATGATTATGGACCGTTAAACAACTCCACAATAAGAAGATTGTTTTTTTTTTTTAATTAATAAAGTCAAATAACAAATTTTATAATATAAGGTCATAATTAAAATACAATTCATATTGACCTAACACATCACAATACAAGAAACAAATGAATGTACAATTAAAAGTGAAAATTGGTTTATTATCGAAGAAGTTGATAAAACATTTAAATTTGCCTAATCTACCTTGACCTAATTGTTGGATGCTTTGATTCCAATCACAATCTATAAAGTTCAAGGCCTATAAATATGTGTAAAATTGAGATTAAATTCGTTTAAAATCTACAAAATAATTAAAAATTTTAATATATTTATTAGCATGTAGTTTAATCAATTATTTAATTATTTAAAGAATTGTGGATTCAAATTCAAGAAAATAAAAAATTTAAATGAAAGATTTATTGAATTTTAAAAAGTTGAAAGAAGTTATTCAATTCAATTTGAATGATTGTATGTGATTTAGTATTGATATGTCCGACCATCGTCGGACCACCGCCCGACCACCGACAGTCGAATGCCGCTAGACTTTAGCCCAACCTTCATCGAACTGCCGCATGGCCGCTGACCACCGCCGGACTTCAACTCGGCGGCCAACCATCGCCGAACTTTAGCTCGACCTTCATCAGACCACCGCCCGACCGCCAACCCCCGCTAAACATCCACCCAACAATTGTCGGACCACCGCCCAATCACCTACCGTCACCGGACTCCCACCCGGTAGCCGACCGTGGTCGGATTTCTACTTGATGCAGGACTTCCACTCATCGCCGGACTTTTGCCCGTCGCCAACTTTCGTCGGACTTATATCTGAAGTCAAACTTTCGCTCATCACTAGACCTCCGACCTCCATCGCCAACTGACTACGGTCCTTTCGATCTCCTTCACCAAACAATAGATTTTTTGACTACTATCGTCCGTCGACTCGTTCCTTTTGACATCCGTCGCCCAACAACGATCTTTCTGGTCACTATCGCCGGCCAACTATGGTCCTTTTGACATCTGTCATCAGATAACGGTACCCCCGTCGCAAGACAACAGTCTTTTTTTCTAACCACTGTCGCCCGCCGACTAAACCCTCCGACCACCATCACAAGACTACGGTCTTTCTGACATAAGAATAATTTGACTTATGCTTCATTTGGGACAACTTTTTATTGTTTTCTAAAGCTTTTTTTTTTTTGCATTAAAAAATCACTTAATAAACAAATTACAAAAGATGTCCTAAACAAAATTTTAGATTTATTTATTTCCATTATGAATAAATTATATTTTATCATTTTTTTTTTAACTTTCAAATTAAATTCCAATATTATATGTAGGCATCAAAATACTTTTAAATATTTATGTTGTATTTATGTAAAAAAAATGTTCATCATATCCAAAGTTTGTAAAATCCATTATAATCATAAATTTTATGGGCATTTCTCAATTTGGTAACTCTAATTTAATTTTTTGTATCTTTTGATAGCGAAGGATAATAGTACTTTTTTTTTTCTCCTTTAATTAATGTGAGTACACTTTATGACAAATTTTCTAGTCAATAATACTTCAACCACTCAAATCTTATACCATTAATGATGTGCAATAAATATACATAAGATATTTTGCCATACATAAGATTAAAAAAAAATTATTATTATTATTTTATATTTGTGCAATACATAACTAATTAATATTATATTAATCTCAAAGAAAATTAATTAATATGTAAGACTTTTCTTTATCATTTTAAAATAACAATGCATTTTTTTAAAACATATAAATTAGTAAGGATTAAAATTTTTGTATATATATATATGTTATGTTTAATGTAAACTTTCTTTTGTTTTTAATTTTAAAATGTTTACATTAATGCCAACCAAGCAAAAAATTTATCATGAGATTATTTAAATACAAATTTATTTTCTTATTATATTTATGTATGTTTGTACTTTCACATATAATGTAATAAATAAAATCTCATATCATGATTATTTGATAAGTTTTACACTGTCTATCAACTACTTAAAATTTTATTGATGAAACCTCAAGAGAGATCCTAGGTTTCTCGCATATAAAGCCCTAGTGTTATTCGTGCTCTTTCATTTATCTATTTATGTATTATACTTTCATACAAGATTAGAATGCAAAGCTCTCTTACTCTGTCGTTATAAGTTTCTTAGCTCATATAATATTATTGTATTTTTATTAGGCTTCATTAGGAACAACTTTAATTTATTTTCTGCTTTCTAAAACAATTTTTTTTATAAAAACTTCTAGTTTAAAAAATTTTATACTAAAAATTAATTGTTTTAGAAAACAGTAAGAAAGCTATCTCACACAAAGCCTTAGCTACAAAATATAGGATATGTTTGTAAAACTTTTTAGACTATTTCATAACCACAATTTCATTTGATTATAATTTTTTGTCACTTTTTTACCGTTTTTTCAAAAAATTATGTGATATTAAGTTATTTTCTGCAAATATAATAATGAACTTATTTTTATCACTACAATTTTTATAATCAACTTTCTAAAAAGCTGATTTTCTTTTAAGGCTTCATTTGGGACGGCTTTCTTATTGCTTCTTAAATGTGTTTTCTAGTACAAAATTATTTTGTACTAGAAAATAGCTTTAAGAAGCAATAAAAAAACCTTCCCAAACTAGAACAATTATTACGTCCTCCGACCGGATGTAGAGGAACATCCGGTCGGAGGCCAAATCGGGCCAAAAAAATGAGAAATTTCGAGCAATACCAAACAATAACGAGGAATACCATCACGTGAAGACCCAATACCGAGTTATACCGAGCTATACCGAGTTATACAAAAGTTGTAACGAGTTTTTCCTAGAAAAAACTCGGTACAACTTGATATTGCTCGGTATAGCTCGGTATTGATCTTCACAGAGCGGTATTCCTCGTTATTAATTATCAAATAATACCTAGTAATACCGAGCAAATACCTAATTTTTTTGCGGGATTTTGCCTCCAACCGGACGTTGCTCTACGTCCTTACACCGGACCTAATAAAAAGTTCCCCAAACTAAGCCTAAAAAACATTAAAAGGAGAGCTGAACCGTTACGTTGATGGTATATTTTACCAGTTTTTTATTATTTACATTTTCTTATCCACTTTCTCCTTCCTTTCACGGCATCTTAAGATCGAAGTAGGAGAAGGTGAAGAGCAGATCGAACCAACAAACATTTTTTGTTTTTTTGCAAATGTCTGATTTATTTTGCACGTTTCTCCCATTGCTTTTGTTCTGTCCAATTTATAAAAATCTTGTTTGCATTTTGTTCCTTTCCCTTCGCAATTTATGCCGAAGGAATTTTGCAGGGCTCGCTTTGTAAATAATTTATTTATGATTGATCTAATTTTTGCAATAAAAAAATTATATATGTTAAAATATTCTTACGAAGAAAGCGACGCGGGAAGAAGAGTCCCCACCGGCGAGGTAGAAGACGAGGAGGCGGGCGGTGACCACCGAAGTCACTGACGGCGACCAACTTCTTCTGTCTTCTTGCTGTGGAATTCTTTCTAATGCTATGATGCTAAATTACAATACCTAATATCATCTTTTGACACGCTAATGAATTTAAATATATTTTTGAATATAAATAAAATAAAATAAAATAAAATATTGAAAATAGGAGAAATTAGGAGATGTTGCTTAATTAAAATGATTCCTTGATAATAATATGTACGAGTTACAACACATCATTTGTCATGAAATTATTACATGTAGTGACCGGAAGCCGTCCGGAGGCCAATCATGGTCCGCCATATCATCAATATAATGTGTATCTTTATTGTGCACCACTGCATCGGGTGACGTTGCGCGTCCTAATTGGCCTCCAGACGGTCTGGTGACCATATGTAATAATCTCTTGTCATTTGTGTGTAGAGTATGTGAAAGTAGGTTGTTATAAGTATCTTCGTTGTTAGTTGCAGGTGAGATCGAGTATCACAACAATCATACAACAACATTAAGCCTTTATCCCACTACGTGGGGTCGGCTACATGAATCCTTTTTCTCCATTGTGTCATATTAAAAGTCAAATTATGATTTAAATCTAATAAAGAAAGGTCACAACAATCATCTAAGAGAAAAAAAGGGGCATGCATTGGTGATAGTGTGGGTAGTCTTTTTAGAGCGACAAATATGTGATTGTAGGGTGACGAATGTGTCTGCCTTGAGAGGCTGAAGAAACCATCAAGAGCTATTACATGTCGGGATAATCCTCCTTTTACATATAAAGGCAGCATGACCTAGAGACTGATTAGGTAATTGACATCGGGTGGACCTATTCAGACCGGTTCAGCCAACCAAACCTACCTCATTATCGTTGCCAACCTGTCAACTTACTACAAGCCTAAAGTTCCTCCTTCCCCGTTAGAATGATGTTGTAGCTGGTTAATCCAATTAACTTCATGCCATATTAAATTCTTAAGATGTTATTTGCAATTTATTTCTCACATAATTAAAATATGATAATTAACTTAATTAAGTAAACTTCTAGTAATAATATCATTAAATTAGACTAATATGGTCTTAAAAAGGTATTTGAACCCAAATTGGAATTTAATTGTAGGTGACAGATAATTTAGACTAAATGACTTGATTAAAACAGATATCCCCCTTTGTCTCTTCTCTCAGTGTCCGGTCAAGCACGACATTTGATGCAGTTAACTAATAGGGGCCTCATCTTCTTTTCAGTCAGCATTAACTAATGGATAATTACAGCATTAAAGTTAGCGAGCTTTGTCTCTGTGTTCTTTGTTTTAAGAATCTATTGCTCCTAATCCCTTTCTTTTGTAGATAATTAGGGTCAGTTTGAAAAGGCTTTAGCTTTTTATAAAGTTGATTATAATGTTGTTGCACGAAAAATAATTTAACGATTTTGAAGTGCAAAAAATAATTTTCTATCGTAAAAATTTTTTAAATGCAGTAAAAAATAAGCAAGAAAGTAGCAAGAAAATGAAAAATGTGGTCGTTGTTTGAAAATTAAAATAACGAGAAAATTGTCCGAAATAGACCATTTGTCTACTGGATTAATAATTAATTATATTTTATTATATATTAGTTTAGATTTATAAGAAGAAAATTGTAATTTTAAAAAATATAGAGGAGGTATATTTATTATTGATTATCAATAAAGAAGATGAATATTATGAATTATTTTATTTTATTTAATTTTTTTATTATACATTAAAATATTAATTTTTTTAGATGTATATGATTTAAATGTGTCCAAAATAAAAATATCCTCTCCCAATTTTCAAAAATTCTTTTTAAATAAAATAAGAAATAGATGAAAATATTTTAATCAAATTTTAATAAGAATGTGTTTTATATTTATTTCATTTAATTGAAATATAAAATTTGGCTATTTGTCCATATATTAGATATAACAAAAATTAAATTGAAAAAGAAACTACTTGTTTGATACCATAATATAATTTTATATTAAGATGGAAATGAAATAAATATTTAATTTGCTTTGAGATTAATGCTTGTTGCATGCCAGAAAATTCTTATTACAGAATAAAATATTTGTGTTAATGTTAGAAGTCGAAGTTGGTAATGATATAGTTAGTAACAATATAAGACAAAGCTAATGGATTTCGTTGTTACTATCAATGGGATGCGGCGACGTTTTTCAATATAAAGGTTGGCAAAACTGGCAAGCATTAGCATTTTATATTGACTGCATGGATCAATCATAGATATGATAATATGTGTCAACATTATTGGTGATGACTTGCGATAAATTTGATGATGTGCCTTGGCCTTATTGGCTATGGTGTGAGTCAACATTGTTCTAAACGGATGTCAATGAAGTCGAGGGTGTCGACATTTGTGCTAATGAACTGCATTAACTTTATAGACAATTACACACATCAATGTTTTGCTAGCAATAGTGAACTGCAAAGTTACGAAGCGTCGACGTTTTGTGTCGATATGTGCCTTGCCATGAGTTGATGTTATTAATGACATATATAATAGAAGATGGTAGTTAGTCAATTGTGATTTGGAGACTATAGTCCAATGATGGTGGTCAAAGTGATGATTGTTTGGTGGTAGTGATCGTTGGTGGTGAACATCAATATCAAACGTTTCGTGAAGCAATAATGTTCTTCATATCTCAAAACTCTCTCAAATTTCAAGTTTAGGTCCAGACCCTTTTATGTGAAGGACGAAGCCTATTTATTATTTTTTAATATATCATTTTGATAAATTTAATCTAAAATTTAAAATATCATATCAAAATTCTCTTATTAAGATGCTCATTTTAACTATTAGTTTTTAAGATATAGGTTTCATTTGAGATGACTTTTTTTTTTTACTTATTCTTAAACCAGCTTTATAGTACAAAAATTAAAATTTTTATACTGTAAAATTGTTTTAAGAAGCAACAAGAAAATCATCCCAAACAAAACCTTAATGATTGTATTATTCTTCGATTAACGATGCGAAGTTTTTGAATGTGCTTCAGTTTTTTATTCAAGCTCATTAGGAGTCCTATCAACTCATTTTTAATGTCATTTAATTCATCTTGTCGAAACATTCATTTGTACTATAGTTTTTTTTGAAAATAAAATTGTAATGATTTTGAGCTTAATTTTGAAAGTTTTTAATGCAAGGATTGCATTCTGATTAGAGTTAGATGCGATGGATTTTATGATGACATATTATTGCATACGTAATTGATCTTTCTCAGATAAATTTAATAATTTGTAATTTAATTTGAAATTTAAATTATATTAAGATATAATGGCACAAAATCTTCCCAAATAAATTTAAATATTTTAAACTTTAAATTTAATCCAAATATTCTCAATTATTTTTTTTCATAGAAGTACTAAAAGTTTTTTTTTTTTAATTTTAATTGATGAGAATGCAATAATATTAATATCATTTCAAACCCCAAAGCCCCCTAGCTTTAGGTATCTACTCCTAAGCCAATTGCACATCGCGAGATGCTCCTCTCCCAGGCTCGCCGCTGTTACCTCCGGCGACCGCCCACTCTCTTCTCCCACCAACTTCTCTCCCCTTCTCTTCCCCCTGAAACCCCCTTCTCCAAGTCCTCTTCATTTCCAGTGTTTTACCGATCCTCCTCTTCCATACCCATCACGCCCGTCGCCTACCCTCCGAAGCCCAAGGAATCAGATGAGACAGTTGAGAACCAAACCTCTTCAGCCGCCAGAATGCGGCCTTCGAGAAGGGAACTGGAGCCGAGTGAAAGGGCTGATTCGACGCCGCCGGAAGCCGGGGCGGCGTCACCTGACTTTGATCCGCGGGCGTGGACTCGACGGGACGTGCGGTTTGTGAAGGATGTCCCGAAGATAACGCCGGTTTCTTATCCTTCGCGTGTGGCGCCGCTGCCGGAGGACAGGACGGCAGCTCCTGAAGCTGCAGAGGAAGAGTTTCCACGTGGGGATCTCCAGAGCGAGGCAAGGAAGATCCGATCTGATGCAAGGGTGAGAAGCTATTTTGGATTGACGCAGGAGGAGATCATCCCATTTCCCACGCTGATTAAGCTTGATAAACGGCCTACGAAGGTTCCCATGGAATTGACTGTGGCCATCCGTGAGGTTAAGGTCAGTGCATGTTTCTTTAGTTTGCTTAATTTTGGTGTATGTTAATTTTATATATCGCCGGCAGCCTTCTTGCATTTAAGTCCGTCGAGCAGCGGAAATAAGGGTAGTGATTCCAACAGTGGTGAAGTTGAATAGAGTCTGTTCTTGTATCAATTCTGAGTGAAATGGATTCGATCTATTCGAGTTGTACTCCTAAATAGAACACTTTATGTAATCTTTATCATAAACAAGAAGGCTTAAATTACAATAATTGGCATGCCGTGTAACCCCACGATGACCCTGGGAGCAAATTTTTCCGTGATCAAGTTTCTTGAATTGTCAAGGGAAAGTTATGAAGATGAGACTATTTATTGGAAGAGTTTTGAATTATAAGGGTTACAAGTGATTATATTATGCTTCAACTAAGCTAGAATTGCTTTGGCGGCAAGTGATTTGTGGTTTTTGAAAGAGCTTCATGTGTAAGAGGAGAACTTGTATTAAGAAGAGTATCATTATCAACTTTAACAATGTATTAACCTTAATAGTGATTCTAATTATCTTTAGCTTAAATAGTAGGTAATGAGAAGAATATCAAGTAATCTTTGCTAAAATTTATCATCACTGCATGTGAAATAAATAATATTCACATTGATGATTCTGTCACTTGCTTATTTACAATTCACGGGCTTTGTTGATTTATAGAGGAAGAAATTAGTATAATTCAGTTTTTGAGCTAATCCAAAAAATAAAAAATCAAACCAATCAAAAAAAGAAATTACAACCAATAATCGAACTGATACTTTACCAACTGAACCAATTCAACCAAATATGATTGATTCGATTTTCTTTTTTTGTTTTTGTTTTTTATTTTATGATTTTATCCATTTAATGCTCGCCCATACTTTTCCACTGTTTTGATACAACACGGAATCATCCCTATATGAAAATATGTTAAGTTTTGGTTGATACTTTTATCCGGGTGAAAATCCTGAAAGTGTGTAACGAAGAGAAATGTAGAATTATAAATATATGATGGTTTGAGGCATGTAAAAATATTTTTTTTTTCTTAATAAAATTGTTGGTTTTTTCAATTTGGTTTGTGCTGGTTAGATGCTGATTCCTAAAAAGTATAGTGAAAATGTGACTACCAATTAAACTTGCTATTGGTGCTTCTATTCATCTTAAACAAGTAATTTTATACGCTTGGGGCTTCAGTAAGAGCATCAATTTGTACTGAATTGGAGGAAAACTCTCTTATAGTAGGTGAAAACTATAAGGCAGTTATTATTAGTGCAATCTCATTTTCATATTCATCTAATGCTCTAGTTGGTATAGTTTTTGGCCGCCTGCTTCCACTTCCTTAAATATCAAAAGCTACTTTAAGCTCTTTGGTGTAATAGCTATGAGAAAATTTCCAGCTTTGCGAATGCTGAGAAGCAACTTTTTTTAGAGAGGTACTTATGTTAACTTCCCGGATATGCGCTTTTATGGGATTTTAGTTTTTATTATTATCAATTAATTAGTTGAAGATCATAATTATAGAAAGTCCATGTTATATCTATTTAGTTCATTCTATCAAGAAATATATGTCACAACAAATTTTCCCCAAACAAGTGTAAGTATTGCATCACTTCAGAAATCAAATTTAATTTGATTTTACCAAAAAAAGAAAAGCTTTATTTGGCAACATAACATAGCAAAATATTATATAGTACAGCACAGTACAATAGAAGATAACAATGCCAAATGTTGCCTCATATTCCAACCCAAAATCTTTTGGTGGGACCAATTAATTTCATCTTTGCAATTTTGATATACTCACCATTAGTTGTTCATGCCAATTAAAGTAGTCTTCTAATTAAAATAATCAATGAAAGAAAAGCATTAGGTCATGCCATAAAAACTAGGGACATTAAACTTAACTTTTTTAGTTCTAGGATGGTCATGGCGAACAACTACCATGATAAGTAAAAGGTTCTCTGTTTCGATGCCCATGGGGTGGAGGTCAATCATCTAGGTGATCATGCACCGCTCATCATGGATGATGTTATCTCTATAATCCATGTTCTGCAGATGATGTGGATGGTGGTAGTCATCAAGTTCCTTTCTTAAAATATTCCTATATTGATGCTGGCACCAAGATGGTGTATGTTAACCAATGTTAAGATTGCTTGAGTTGGCAAATCGTCTGGAAGCTCAGAAAGTTGTAATTCAAGGTATACAGGTTTGTTTGTTGATAATATATATATATATATATATATGTGTGTGTGTGTGACCAGTTCATCGAGAAGTCTTGTTTGGTCTAGGTTACATTGTGATCCAACTGTAACATGAAGGTTACCTTCAGAGGTTTGTTATCCAAAATTTCTAGTAGGCTGAGGAAGATTGTTAATTGCTTGGATTTGATTAGACAAGTCTTCAAATCTGCCCATGATTGTTCTGAAGTTATTTTTGAGGGTTTCAGTTTCATTATCCAGTGTGGCAGATTTATGTTATCAGCTTTCTACTTCTTGTTCCGATTGAACTACAGTTATACTACTTTTTAATGTTTTTCTTGTATTAAGGCAAGATTCCTTTTGACATGCTAAATCTCAAACAATGGTACAAAAAACTATATGCTATATGTAATGCAACTAGTAGTTCTTAGATGCAATGTAATAACAAGTTACTTGTTGACAGTAAAATTTAATTGCAGAGCTTTGGATATTATGCTGTCAGTTCGATATATGGGGTCTGTAAATAAGTCAGCTTCAGTTAAAATGGATCATCTATCAGCTTGTTAACACCTTCTCACATTACTTCAGTGTAGCATGAAGGTTTCTCTTAGTTTTGCTTAAAAATTTTTGGAGTTGAAAGTAAAATTTCAAAAGTAACAACACAAAACTTTAATGAAATTATATCATATAACGTAAACAGTTCCACAAACTGCAGAAGCAATCTTTTTAGAGCAGTTATGTATAATATATTAATTAAGTTAAATAGGTATCGCATGCTGTAGGCTCCAGAAGATTTCCTAAATGAACTCCATAAAGCGTTCTCTATGCATAATGCATTGATGCCTGATCTACCAATGAAATAGTAAATCCTAACTTTTCCGTTGAAAATAACCAACTTATTTTGCTGAACATAAAAGAATGTTCAATTTGTTGCAATGATTTTCGGGCAGGACCAGATGTATAATAACAAACGGGTGAAGGATGTTTGACTGCTTCAGTTGGACAAGCTTAACCTGGCGAATTCAAATTGGTTTACTTTCCTAGCATTGGTTGGACTGAATTTCTGTATGTCTTCAAGTTGGTTTAAAATTATAGAATTTCTGATTTTAATGTGGATTATAATAGGTTCAAGTTTAAAAAGAAAATTGAGTATGATAGGAGAGTGCTTATGATATTTGTTTTGATGTTCTTTGTGATGTTTTAACTTGAACTTGAATGTTTTTGGTGAGCTGGTTGATTAGTGTATCTAGGGTGGGGTGGATGTTTTGTGTAGGGGTGTCAATATTTGACATGACACGACAACCCGACAAGGAAAATCTGGTTTGGACCCGACCCGTTTATAAACGGGTCGGGTCCAAACCAGATTTTCCTTGTCGGGTTGTCGTGTCATGTCAAATATTGACACCCCTACACAAAACATCCACCCCACCCTAGATACACTAATCAACCAGCTCACCAAAAACATTCAAGTTCAAGTTAAAACATCACAAAGAACATCAAAACAAATATCATAAGCACTCTCCTATCATACTCAATTTTCTTTTTAAACTTGAACCTATTATAATCCACATTAAAATCAGTAAAGGTGAGTAATAATATGTTTTATCGGTGTTTGGAGGTTTTTTTGGGTGGTGGAATGTTTAAGAAATGTTTTACATATACTTGATTTGGAGCTAATGATGCTCTTTATTTTCATTGATTGTATAGACTACATGAAAGAATGTTGTTTTCATTTTAAAACATTTGTGATCTAGCCAGCTGGAGTTGGGAGGAATCATACTAAGGGCTGATGCTTTAAATGGGAGAAAGAAAGGATTTCTAATAACTTGAGCTTAAGGAGGAAACAGATTGTCCAAGAGATGGAGGGAGGAATATAAAAACTATTTAGAAAATACAAGTGAATCCTAAAAGAGCTAACTTCTTAAAGCATTGTTTGTTGAATACTTAGGATAGGATGTACTAGATCCTGAAAGCTTAGAAAGGGGTATGGGAGGGGACATTCTTTAACAATTATAACAAATTTAATAAGAATGATATTTAATACAATATATAAATTTGTAATATTATTAATTCTTATAATATGCATCATAACAAATTTATGTTATATAAATTTATAATACAAATTAAAAAATTTTGCATCCCAACCAGCCTAAATTCGAGGCCCAACCAACCCAAATTCATAGCTCAATCAAGCCTAAACCCACATTCTAACTCATATAGTATTCATGCAACTTTTTTAGTCCAACGTCATAGAACTCTTTATAAAGTGTGAAGTACACACTTTTTTTAACAAAATATATTTTGTGACATGACATGCATATATTATAGTATAATTAATCTCAATGTTTAATAAAAATATTTTAAAAAATTAAAAGAATTAATAAAGTAAAATATATGTTTTATAATTTAATTAAAAAAATACAAAACCAACTGGTTTAAACGGTTCACCGGTTGATGGTTTAATCGGTTCGATGCGAAGTCGATTTTTAAGCTGCATTGGACCGGACAACTGACCAATTCACTGTTGAACCGATTGAACTGGCTGGTCCGGTATGAATTTTAAAACCTTGTGACAACGGCAAATAGTTAACAACGAAAGAAAATAAGATAAATAATCTCCTTAAAAATAAGATCATCAAGCTGAAGGATCTAATTGTAGGAGAAGTAGTCAAGTTGATGAGCATAAATAAATTGATATCTTTTGATTGTCTTCACATATTGTTTTAATGTTTTTATGTTGAAGTCTTTATTTACATATGATATGATATCATTTTGACCATTTGGATATTGTACAAATTATTCTGTATTTTAGTTTGAAATTTTCTCATTTTTTCAGGCTAATGCTAAGCGAAATTTTCTTGAAACTGTCGAGGCCCATGTAAACTTGGGTGTTGATCCAAGACGAAGTGATCAGGTCAGGTTTGCTACACTCGTGAAATTCTAGTATTATACTGTATCTTTATTAAAATGCCGCCAAATTTTTAGTGGATACTGCGTCTTTATTAAAATGTCTTGGCTATTGCCATTTGTTTTTAATGACATTTCTATAAGGTTATCTTTATGATAATTGAGCTTTATAAAGTTGACATAGTTTTGTTTTATCTTTGCTATGTTGAACTTCATATGGATGTTGTAATCACAGATGGTTCGTGGTGCATTAACATTACCTCATGGTACTGGAAAGGTAAGAGACGGCCTCAGTTGGAGTCCATCTTTGCCATGTGCACTGTATTGAATTGCTTAACCTGATAGGCTTGCTCGTTAGACTGTCAGGGTAGCTGTATTTGCAGAAGGAGCAGCCGCTGATGAAGCGAGGGCTGCAGGAGCGGATATTGTCGGCGGTGATGAACTCATTGAGGAAATAAAAGCCGGTACAATAGTGCTGCTCAAAATATATTATTTTATTGTTATTTCAATAGCTAACTATTTACTTGATGCCTATATTGAAATCCCAACTTGTATGAGGAGCAAATTAAGAATAGTTGTATTTTACTCTCTGTATTTAAATCCCAACTTTTACGAGAGTACTTTGGATTTGAGTTTGGTTCGTCAATAAGATTGCATAAAGTAAGCCGATTCCTAGTTTGCTCTGAAATTATCTTATCTTGAACAGAAATTTTCCATTTCTCTTTACTTATAGTAACTTTCAAACAAAGGTTTCGTTTGGGACGACTTTCTTACTGCTTCATAAAATAGTTTTTTTGTAAAAAAATTAAAATTTTTATACTAGAAAGTTGTTTTAAGAAGCAAAAAGAAAGTCGTCCCAAACGAAGTCTAAGTTTATTTTCTAATATTAGTAATGTAGGACACCCATTTCATGAATTATGTCTAGATTGTAAATACATTGACCTGGTATTTTCTTGACTGAAACCTGCAGGAGGTGGTAAAATCAAGTTTGATAAGTGCATAGCAACTCCCATGTTTATGCCTCGTTTGTCTAAGGTTTGTAGAGCCATGCTTCCAAAATACATTGCTTATGCTATTTTGGGAGTTTTCATTAGTGAAATCATCATTAGCCTTTTTCCAATTACTTGGGCCAGCTTTTTTACTTTATTTAAATAGTTTTCTTTAATCAGATTGGCAGGATTCTTGGTCCACGAGGTTTGATGCCAAACCCCAAAGTGAGTTCCTAGGTATTAATTCATGCTTCGAAGCATTTATTTGCTTATTTACTTAAATTCTTTGGGTCATTTTGTAGTTAGGGTCTGTGACAAATGATGTTTCTGGAGCTGTAAAGGCAGCAAAATGTGGACGCATTGATTTTAAAATTGATAAAACTGCCATTGTTCATGTAGGCCTTGGGAAGGTAGGCTCTTCGTGTACTATTTGTATTACCATGGTAATTTATATGCATCCCTTTTATTGAAGAGTAGGGCAAGAAGATGCTATAATACAATTTTAAAAAGTTGTTTTTTAAAACATAATTTTGTTAACTGGCAATTGATGTTTTAGGCTTCATTTGGGACGACTTTCTTACTGCTTCTTAAAGCAAATTTTTGTACTAGAAAGCTATTTTAAGAAGCAGGAAGAAAGCTGTCCCAGACAAAGCCTTATTCTTATCTCATATCTAATGATATTTGCTTCACTATTACCCAAAAAAAAAATCACCTGCTACTAGGATTTAGGAAATATTTTGAAGGTTTTGCAAACATTTTCTTTTTAAAGTGCATGTAATGACATATTCTCTGATGCTGTCAACTGAACCGTACACATGCATCTATTTTCCATGTAGCCTGCCAAGTGTGTTTGTTAAACATAATCCACATATATTGGGTGTAGTTGGTGCATGAGGCTTCCATCACTGCAGGGTAATGTAAGATGGTTATGAGTCAGGATTTAATAATGATTTACTATTGCTATTTAAATTGAGATGTACAATGAAAATTATGAACAACAATATGCATATTACCAATTTTTAATTTTAGCAAAAACTATTTTTAATGTAAAAATATAAAGCATGCTTCTTTCTTAAAAAAATTTTTAATAGTTGCCAAATTTTGTAATTTCATAAGAAAAATAATGAATGAATATAATATAATAGCAATGATTTTCTGACACCATGAAAATTAATCTGACACATTTCACACATGAAAAAATTTCCCTCATGCATATATCAAATAACAAAACAAATTAAAAGCATAAGCATAAATAAAAATCACCCAAAAGGAAGAACCAACCCATATGCTATACAATTAGTAGTTGTCAAGATCTGTGAAATCCTGAAGAATCCACATCCCACAATAAACGAAAATTGAGAAAAAATTGAAATTTTATCTCATTATCAATATTTTATATTTTTTCATGTCTCAGGTGCCTTATTTATATCATACAACGTACCTAAAACATGAAACTTCGAATCCTCCTATATCTGATAAAAAGCTACAAGTTTCAATTCTCTCAACGTATCAATAGTAGGAATCAGCTTTTTGTTTCATAATTTCTTTATGAACATGTCCATGAAAGGAACATAATAGGTGGCAAAGTAACGACTACAACAATCATTGATAAAGACGTAGTCTAAGATTGTAGCTTGCAGGTAGCAGATAAGGAAGTTGATCAAATCAAGAAAAATGCAAGTTCATGACACTTGATTTCAGAATTGTTGTAGTTTAACTGTTTTTAAATAAACTTTCGAGATACTACCAAATTAGCAGCACATAGGAAAATTTTTGGGATTGTTGCACAATTGCTCGTAGCTCTTCACGATAAGGAATTTCATGATTGTAATGTCAACAAATTCACGATAAGATAATGATGAGGATATCAATAGGAGGTCTATCATCGGAGGAATTGTTGATCAACGGCTACGATTCAGAGTCTTTATTTATGATACATTTATGTATTTTATTTTTATTTATGTTCTGGTTTACCATTGTACCCTCGAGAGGGTTTAGTTCATGATGTAGCCCAAAGGACATTTTAGTCTTTTGCTTCTCTTTTTTTATTTTAAGGCCTATATATAGGGGCCTTCACTATTGTATGAGCTAATGATTGATTAATGAAAATTTTAGCTTTTGGTTCTTTGTTTTCTTGTGAGCTCTTAAGAGAAGAGAGAACCCTAGGATATGGCCAAGCATCACCCGTCAGCTGCCAGTAGCGTATCCGTTTTTATTTTCTTTCTCCCTCTCTCTCTCCCCACCACTGGCCAACCCTTCCCTTCCAACCCGTCAGCCTACTCCCATCCCTAACCGAAACTGCCGGTCGAATTCCCCCTCCATCCTCTCCATCGCCGGCCTCCCTTATCCCACCCAACCCACGACCTAAGCCCCACCACCGAACCCTCCCCCACCAAATCCAAGACCCACCTTTTCTCCCCTAGTCACCAGCCTGCCCAACTTCACCCCTAGCCGTCGGCCTACCCATCCCCACCCTCTTGATTCCCCTTCAATTACACCGTTACTGCTGTCCTAATTTAGCCCAACTCTTATTTGGAAAGTTTTCTAATTTAAATTCAAATAAATTTGAATTTTAAATTCCTTCCCAAATAGCCTACACTTATTTTTGGAGATCCCTTAATCACCTAAAATATGAAATTAATTCAGATTTGAGTCTCCAATCAGCAATTTATGCAAGGGTCCACATACATCGAATGTGGACACCTTTTTTCCCCTTTGGTCGGGCCCCTCCCTTTCCTTTTCTCTCTCCAATTAATTCCCTTCTCTCTATTAATTAAACCCATTAAACCCTATCTTAAGCCGCCGGCCCCTCTCTTCAATTTCACCTAATTAATCCTCCATTAAGGGAGATTTGAATTTCAAGTACTTCCCTCTTTTTCACCCTTGAACTGAACTAACATTTTAGATTTCAAAATTGCTTCCTCTCCTTTCTCTAATCCTAAAGCTAAACTTGGAGGAGCCTCCCTAAGTTTGACCGAACCCCCCCAGCTCCTCTGCCACCCATCTCCTCTCTTCTCCCTTGCTTCACCTACATCCCAAGGAAGAAGATACATCAACCCTTAGCCTGCTTCCCCCATGAATGGTCGACCCTGAGCACAATCATGGATTTGCATATGATCTTCAAGGAAAAGTAGATATCCTCCGGTCTCCCTTCTTCAACCTCGACTTAGAGATCGATGACACCGTCGACGACTATGTTGATCGAATCCTTTTCACTTTGACGTCTGCCATCGAGGAACACCAAATCTCCGGACAATGGCGAATCATCGTCCACCAACTTTTCCCCCTCCGGTTAACTTTTCGTTGAGCAAGACTGTAGGCGTTCTCTTTCTTTTGGTGGCATATCTTGGTTTGCTGAAATTATTGTCATGCTAACCCCACTATCAAGAGTGAAAGTGAGGGGAACTCGAGGTGAACTTTCTATTTGTCAAACGGTGGATTTTGTTATTTTTGCATCTAGTGTTACTTCGATATTTGTTCTTATTTTAAAATTGTTCTGTTAATCTTTATGTAACCTCATGCCAAAGCACAACTGCAACTAAGAAATCCTAGACTCTTATCTTGGTGAAACATTGAGTTTAAAATTATTAAAACTTAACTTGTTATTAATTCTTAAGTAATTGCTATTTCTATATATGTTTCACATCATATAATGTTTAATATTCAGCAATTAGCTAGTACTATAATTGATGGGGACATAAGATCGTGGAAGGTTTATCAGAGATGTGGCCGTCGATCTACGACCACGATCGAGTCTTTGTATTTTTTAGTCATTTGTGTTATTTTATTATTCATGCATTTTATTTATTAGGTGTCTTTATGTTTTCCGTTTGTACCCCTTTAATGGGAAGCGTCGTACGTAAGCCCAAAGGGCAAGAATGTCTTTTTATTTCATTGAGTCATTGTACCCGACTATTTATAGCCTCTTCTTTCATCTTATTGATTAATGAATGATTATGAGAATTTTTCCTTCACTTGTTTTCTTGGAGCTTTTGCGAGAGCTTGAGAGAGAATTAGAGAGAGTTTGGTGGAGCCTAGGATAGACCACCCGTCGTACCCAACAGTCACCACCGGTGGCTCTTGGCTCCCCTCCCCGTTCTCTTCCTTCACTTCCCTCCACCACCGGCCACCCTTCCACTTGCCCAAGCCCTTCCCTTCACCCAACACTCTGGCCTCACCTCCCATCCGAGCCCCCTAAGCCGCCGGCCACAAGTTCCATAGCCGCTGGCCACCTCCAATTCTCCTCCTCCGTGAAGTTTCCTATTTGGGTTAAGCCGTTGGCCACAAGTTCCATAGCCGCCGGCCACCTCCAATTCTCCTCCTCCGTGAAGTTTCCTATTTGGGTTAATGACTAAATTGGGAGGATTTGAAATTCGAAACCTTTGAATTTGAAATAAAAAATCTTTCCTAAAGTACTCTAATTTAGGAAAGTATTTGAATGAGGACCCTTTGAATATTTTATTCTTTTGGGTTTAAATTAAAACTTTCCTAATCCCAAAACTTACATTAGGAAACCCAAATTAACTCCCACGAATTGCTCCCTCCTATGTGCATGCCGCCGGCCATACAAGGTCCAAACCGCCGGCCCCCACTCCAATTCTTCCCCTTTTGGATTTCCAAAATTAATTTCATTAATTGGGACTCAATTTAGGGCCCAATTAATTAGATCCTGAAATTCAAATCCCTTCCTTTTACTTTAACTTATTTTAGGAAAGTTTCCTAATGAATATTCAATTTGATTTTAAATTAGATTGGATAATTTCAAAACTTTCCCAATTCCTAAACCCAACTTTGGAAGCCTCATTTAATTCCCCAAATCCCCCCATCATCCCCTCCCATACCCGCCGGCCATAGCCTACCCGGCCCTTCCCTCTCTCTCTCAAATCTCCTCTCTCTCTCAATTAGCTTTCCACTTCTACAAAATCTGAAACAAATTTCAGATTTTAGGTGTTGGCTCTCTTCTCTTGCGATAGGAAGAGAAACTTCTTTCTCTTCGATCATCTTCAAGAACCCTAATAAGGAGAAGGAGATTTAGCATCCGGCGCCCATGAATGGCGGATCCGGAAACTGATTACAGCATAACTTGGGACGAAGACGGCTTCGTCGACATCCTACAATCTACTTTCTTCGACGTGAATCCAAGGGTTGATCTCACCGTCGAGGATTACTTGGAGCGTACGTTGATATATTTGGTAGAGGCTATTGACGATCACTTCGAAGGCATTGAGTGGAGGATCTCCACTATCCCTTGACGAAGGTTTCTCTCCCTACTTGCATCTTATCCCTTTTAGTCTAACTCCTCTTGATTTGATTGTAGTCACGACGGGCTCCTCCGTATTGCTCTTGCTTAAGCTTAGTAAACGTAGGATTTGAGTGCACCTCTATGCTTTCTAATTCTCATTGTTAGACTAGGGATTATTTTGAAAGCTACTACTACTCATTGTATTGTTTTCTATTTATTTTGGAATTTTCAAAGCTCTCACCATGTGATTTAGCCTAAGCGGATAATCACTAATTGTTTTGATTCATTATTTTAATTCGCTAGTAGTTTTTGTTCTATAATTATTCTAATCATAAGTTGTGCAAAATCCATATGAGTTGAAAGTGCATCTCATTTACGTAGTCCTGCATCAATAATAGTCAACAATTTTGTTGCAATTAACAATATAGAAGGCTCTTGATTGTAGAAATCAACAACTGAAACAAAATGGCTTGAATCAACGGTTGAGACATAGGGCTACAGGAATGAGAATAGACGTAAATCGTCTGAAAGGAAATATGCATGGGGAAATCTTGAAATCCATTAGAATAAGAAACTTTGAAAGCTGAAATAAATACTTAAGCTTGATTTGTTTAGCTACACATCATGGAATATATTCAATGTCTTTAAAAATTCAGGCTCATATTCAAGAGTTTTTATGAGAATTTTTGGTTCATGCTCAACAATAGACTCAATTTTTGTAAGGATTTTAAACAAAATCATAGGTTCATTCTCCATTTTGTGTTCTATTTATAATGAAGGTTTAACCTCATAAGTGATCTCAATTTAAACTTTAGATTCAATTTAAAGTTGTTTTTGTTGCTTAAGTGTAGACTCATGCCAATAAACAAACTTCTAACATAAGTCAAGATTCATGCTCTAGATCACCTAAAGAATCCAAGTGTACTTGTAAATCTATATCTAATTAATCTTCAAATGATGTTCGTGAACTTATTTCCTTAATGAAATCACATTTCACAATGCATGCTTCTTGTGTTTGTGTAGGTTTGATAGGTTTGAGAGAAGTTATATATTCCCCTCTATGATGCACATATACGTACACGGGATACGTCAATTATTGAAAATATTGGACGTGGATACATGTTGGACATAATATTATAAATTTTTTTATATTTTAAAATTAGTGTATAAAAATCGAATAAACATAATATTAAGAATTACAATTAAATAATGATCCATTTAAGTAGGATTTGTGCTTAAAATGATTAATACAGGATGTCGAGAGTCGTACGTCGATATTGTGAGTCAGGCATTGAAAGGGGAGACGAGAATGTTTTTGAGAGTCATGCATCGATGCCGTGCAATGGGTATCGGGCATTGATGTTGAGACAACATCAGACGTTAATGTTGAGACAATGTCAGTCGTTGATGTTTAGATGATATTGGACAATAATAAGATGTCGAGATGGTGCAAGGGAGTGATTATGGGTATATAAATTTCTCGCATAAAATGTTAATATCAAGATAACATCATACTTTAATTTTAAGATGATTTTGAAATGTTGATGTTGTGATGACGTTGAACATTGATACTGATATGATATCGGACATTGTTGAGAAATCCTAGTTGTGATCCATTAGAGAGATGAAAATAAGAATATTTGGAGAATGGAGTATTGAGTGAAAATGACTAATTTGGGGCTTGTGGAGAGGAAATGTGAAATTTAATTTTTATATTTTTAATAAATAAAATATGAAATTCAAGAAATTATATTTTAAAAATTTTTTTCATAAAATCTTTAAGACACATGCGTCCAATTTATTTTTGATATTTTTTAATTGTATACATCTTCTGTGTGTTCGACATGTGTCAGAGACATATCAGATGTGTATCGTGGTTGATATGTGTTGAACATTGCATATCTCTTTGAGTTAAGGTGTCGGTGCATCATAGATTGATTTTTAGTTATTTTAATTATGGATGTGGTATTCTTGATGGATCATTTTTAATATGCCTCAATATTTAAACATCTAGTTTAAGACCTCACTTGGGGTTTTCGGTAAGTTGTAAATTTAGGCTACCCTAATCTTCTGCTGAAGATCTTTGGCAAAACACATGATGATAATAAGGTAGTCTCGAAGCATATCGTGTTTGATCTATGAACTTATCATAGTACGCATAGACCCTAGAATTATTTTGTTTACAACCCTTACAGTGATTATTTAAATGGTCTCGATATTTTCGGTATTACATACTGTTCTTTAAGTGCATGTCTCATGTCAGCCTGTATTAATTTAGTTTTGCTTGTAATACTATGCCAATAAGTTTGAGCACGACAAACTAATTTTGTTATAACAGTTTAATTTTTGCAGAATCAAATGAATTGTATTATTTAAATGAATATTTTAAATTATCGACCATACAAATATCTATTGCTTCTGCATCCCATCAAATATAGCTATGTAATTTTGATCCTCTAGATAGTTATGTTGTATTCATTTAGAACTATGAATTGCCCATTTTTGTTTTATTTGCATCATTGATTATTTTTTCATTGAGCTAATTAGCATATCTTATTTTTGGTTCCCCTGATTACACAATCATAGGGTTTACTTATACCACTTAGTATGCAATCCACATTGAAAAGTGTATAGGTTACCAATTATTAATTTTAGCAAAAATCAGTCGCTTTTAATGGGAAAACCAAAAAAAATTCTTTCATCCATAGCAATAATTTAAAAGTAAAAAGTTGAAATTTCACCAAAAAAAATATAAAATTTCAGCAACAACAAACTCTCACACTATGAGAAAAATCATTACTTATTAGGACTAACAAAATCTCAATTCAAATTCATGCAACTAAAACATATCAAAAGGAAGAACGAATATAAAATCATCCCAAAGGAAGAATCGGGTCTTACTTTAGTATGATGAGATTCCCTTGGATGTAGTTGTCATGACCTGCGAAGTAATTTAAGAATCCATATCCAATAGCGCACATATAAGAACTATGAAAAAATAGAACTAAATATTATTTCTTTATTAGAATTTTCACTTGTTTGATGTTTTTTTTTTTTAATTTTTATATCCTGCAAATAACTCAAAATAAAAACTCACGAGAATCCTCCTAAATCTAATAATAATGATAAAAAGGTTCAATTTTCCTAGCACATAAGAAGCATGAATAAGCTTTTTGTTTCTTAATTTTCCAATTAACTCACCCATAGAAGGAAAACAAGAGGCTTCAAAGCAGAGGTTACAACAATTACTGGCAAAGAGGCTGTTTAAGATTGTCGCTTATGGTGTGGAGTATATAAAGAAGTAGCACAAATCAAGAAATATGCAAGTTCATGATGCTAGATTCCAGGATTATAGCAGTTCAGCAGTTTTCGAAAGAAACTCTTAGGACTCTAGGAAATTAGCGACACTTAGAGAAAAAGTCTTGAGAATTCGGTTCAAGCATTTCCCATAGAATGATAAGGAACTTCATAAATTTGTTATATGCAAATTTGTGGCAACAAGGAAACAAGCGCTGTAGCAATTAGTGGGTACTGTAGCAATTAGTGGGTACTGTAGCAATTATTGATGTGCAAAATTCTCGAGACCACAAAAATCAGTGTCGAAAACTCCGGGTGTAAGTGAGTAAAGCTGGCTCATGGGCCTATTCTAACTTGTTTTGTTAATGAGCACACAAAATGAGCTTATTGAGTTATGAACTGGAGCTCATATTACTATTTAAATACTATATGAGCTTGAGTTCGAGCTTGAAGAGGCTCGATTTATTTGCTTATGAGTAGTCTTATGAGTTGGCTCGATTAAATTCTTATAAAATCCTAAATCCCATATCTCCTTGGTTTGATTTGGAACATTGGGCGAAATTAACTTAAATATTTAAGTATACTCTTCTTTTCCAAGCATCTCTGGTCTTGTTGATATACTCTTCAATAAGATCTTGTCATGATTTTCTTGTTCCCACTGATTCCTTCTCTAGCAAGCTCACATGGTGGCTTCCTTTTTGTGATAGATGCCTTCTTTAGTGAGTTGCAATCGTGACTTCCCTACTACATCTATCGATGCCATTGAGATCCCGCTGATGTTGGTGAGCTCTCATCGTGAGTCTTTCGAGAATTTGACACCTTCATGCTCTAATCCAATGAGTTGAGTTTGAGCTCGAGCACGAGTTTAAGCTTCTCCATCAGGTTGGCAACCTGAGCTCGACATGACTTGTTTGCATGCCTAGCTATTGCAGAGGATTGCAAGAAGGAGAATATGTGAAAACCGCATGAAATGAAATAATCATATATGGAAATCTTAACATTTGGCTTAATAGGAAACCTTGAACGCTGAAATTATAACCTTTTATAATACTTATTGAATTGGAACCCAAGGTGTAATTAATCAAATCCAAAGAGGAAGTCAAAATATTAATGAACATAACCTGTTTTCATTATGATCAAAACATCATAGGTCTGTTTTTACACTTGATGAAAAACTAAGAATCAATACAATGAATTGCAATTCCATGAACACACTTCCATATTTACAAAACAGGGTCTTTGGAGAGGTTTGTGTATGCAATCTCACCCCTAAATTTTAAAGAGAATTGTTTTTGTGATTTAAATTTAATACTCTAAATCAAAATGTAGACAACCTACTAATTGCTTCATGGCTAACCTTGATCTATATAAAAATTGCTATTTGTCCGTTAATGCAAAAAATAAAAATAAAGTTATGCCACTTAGATGTTGGTTGGAAGAAAAGTTGCATCCTGTAGAGATTCTTTGAAGTCTATTTAATTATTTGTATGGGTTGAAGAAGGTAGATCTTCTATGATGGCATAAGCATATACTGCAGATGGTTAGTCATTTAATTGTTGTTGTTATGGCTTTATGACACTTGGTACCTTACGTTGCTTGTAATGTGGAAGGAGAAGGTTTCACTGGATGAGTACGAGTGAAAGAGCGGATATTTTGGAGCATGAAAATAAAGATGAATTCTGCATTTCTTGTAATGCAAAAACTAGATTGTCGTACATTCTTCCTTTATTCTTTGTATATTTAGAAAATGTTCGTTATGAAGGCTGAATGTTTTCCATGAACTTGTGAGTTTTGTTCTCTTTAGAACATATAACTCTCGTTTGTTTATTACTCCAGTTTAATAATTGTTTTTATGATTGATGTTCTTTATATATAAAATTTCTTCAGTCTTGCTTGCAGTTTTGCTTCATGTGACTTGACCAACACGTATGAACTTTTTCAGGTTAACTTCACCGAGGATAATTTACGTGAAAATATTGGAGCTTTTGTGAATGCACTTTTAGTGGCAAAGCCTGTGGGCCTTAAGAAAAGTAAGGCAATTCTTGATCCGATTTTGTTGTTCTTACCATGCCAATAGCTTTATAGATTTAAGTAAAATAAAGTTCACTCAATCTTCTTAGAAAGTCGGATGGGAAGCCCGACTAGAGCAAAGTTGCAAGCTCTGCTTAACTATTTCTGCCCTGAATAGTTTTATCATTGAAGCATTGGGAGGAACCAGGAATATTTAAACACTTTAGGATGATGTGATATACCTTTTTTTTGTTGTTATTGAAGTTTCAACGATTATATTATGTTTATTTTGCCAACAATCGAAACATGTTGGATGGTTTTGTGATTGGTGATAATACAAAATATCAGGGTCTTGAGTATTCAAATAAAGTTTTTAACACATGAAAACAAGTTATCAAAATAGAAATGTACATATCCAACGAAATGTCTGGAATTGTGTTAGACCCGTCCATTGGACCGGTTCTGCCGGTCCATACGAGACCGGCTCAACATAACAAGAGGCGGAAGAGTCCGCCTCCCATATGAGCCGCGCAGGCCGCAAGATCCACAGTAGCCAATTTGGAAGGATTTTTTAGGGAGTTAGGAGGGAAATTTGAATGTAGGGATTGTTTAGAGATTTCTCTTTTGATTGTATGCATTAAATAGTTTATTTTCCTAGGGTTAAGACATTTTGAATTGGGCTGAAATTTGAGATCTCTTAGATTTAGGTTTTCTTTTGGGTTCTAGTGGCGTCTAGAGATTTGGGAGAGATAGATCCTCCTCTCGAATAAAGGATCAATTGTATCTTGCTATTTTACATTTCCTTTTTATCAAATAATACATATTATCTACTGTTCTCGTGGTTTGGTGTGGATTTTTGTGGGCAATTCTTGATGTTTTCCGAAGATTGATAGGAAATACTTGAGATCTACAAGTGTTTTCTATTAAATTGTAATTCTAATTTTAAGGACATGGTTCCTTAAAGTGTGATTGCATGCTAATTCTTACATAGGATTGACAGATCAATGTATTATGCTCTGATCATTTTTTTGTTCTGCAGCTTCCAAATATGCTGGTTATGTGAAGAATTTCACATTAAGCAGCACGGTGAGCCTCCTCGAAACCTCTCCATTTATAGAGAGCATTTGCAATTAATTTATTGGCAGATAAGATACCTGGCAAAATATATGCATGCAGCTTATTTTTGAATAATGTCTTAAACTAATGGAACATTTCCTGCTTAGACCTTGGTAAAAAGAGAGTTTAGTACAGCGTATTCTACATCATGTTCTCTGTTGCTTCTTATGTTTGATCTCTTATCTTTGAGAATACTGTTAGACGGGTCCATTGGACCGGTCTAGCCGGTCTATATGGGACCGGCCCAGGCGGAACCGAGGCGGAGACGTCCGCCTCTCCTGTACGCCGATCACACTGCAAGCGCCAACCGGGCTGATTTAGAAAGGAGTTTTGAGAAAGTTTAGGAGGGAATTTGAATGTACGGACAATTTAGGGATTTCCTTTTGATTTGTTTGTGTTAAATACTTTGTTTTCCTAGGGCTAGAGCATCTTGAATTTGGTTGAAATTTGAGATCCCTTAGATTTAGGTTTTCTTTTGGGCTCTAGCGGTGTCTAGAGATTTGGGAGAGATCGATCCTCCTTTCGAATAGAGGATCAATTGTATCTTGTTATTTTCTGTTTCCCTTTCATCAAAATAATACAAAGTATCTACAGTTTTCGTGGTTTTGTGCGGATTTTTGTGTAGAAGCTCGCTGTTTTCCGAAGATTGATAGGAAATAATTGAGATCTACAAGTGTTTCCTATCAAATACCTAAGTTAACTGAAACTTCTGGCCTTTTGTTATATGACACCCATCTAGTTATTGATATGTCTACATTGCAATCTTCATAGGTTATTTTGATATATAATATTTATGACTGTAGTAGTGCAATCATGGCTGTCCCTCAAAACTCTTACAATTTATCTTCTGTGCAGATGGGCCCTGGTTTTCCTGTGACAATTCAGTCATTATCTGCAGCTGCAGATACCTATACCAAAGTGCAAGCTAAATAATAATTTTTTGGGTGCTTTACCATTGAATTATGCCAGCAGATGGAAAAATCCAATTTCAGATACTGGAAACAAGGCAAAGTTGTTCTTTGACTGCTCTGATCATCTAGGTAATTTTCAACTATGTTCCAAGTGTTAGGCTAGGTAATTTTCAACTATGTTCCAAGTGTTAGGGTTCTATGATATTGAAATTAATTAATATCTACATGAGCATTGGTTCCGAGGTTGATCCTTCTGTTATCCTGAAGTTTTGAGCTATTCTGTGACCTATATTTTAACCAACCTATGTGATTCCATCATTGCCTGCTTTGAGCTTTTTTTTTCCTTTTGTGATATTTTATTTAATGTATTTTTTAGAAATTTACATTATGAAAGGTTCCTTCATATATTATTTCTCTGAAGAAACATGTGATTTTAATCTTAGTTTTTCTAAGTTCAAGTAAATTGGTTTCTTGCATCCTTCTGATTGTATTTGTGTAAAGGTGTCGACAAACGACCCTAAACGACAATCCCATGACTAGATTACTAGTTGATTGGGTTCAAGTATAAATTATAAACCCGATTATTTTTCACATTAGGTTTGGGTTGATCCGAATAATTTGAAATTGACTTATTTCTTCACAAATTGATAAAGAAAAATCTGACTTAGTGGAGTGTGGCCAAGCAAAGACCTTTAGTGGAGTAGCTAATGCAAGAAAGAGGAGCTAAGCTTGAAATTATGTTTGGGTTAAGCGAGTTCGGATTAGATTAATTAGGTTAAATAGGTCAATTGGGCTTTGTTAATCTAAAAAATTGCACAATCCATATAAAAAATTATGTAGATGATTAGATTCAAGTTAGGTGGATTCGGGTTGAGTCATATTGAGGTGGATTCGGGTTAAGCATATTTGGGTTGGGTCAACTTCTTTTGAGACTTTAATCCGATGCATCAACCTGAATTGACATCCCTATATCCCTATATCTGTATTTTGGTGAAGGATTTAGGTAGTTTGGTGAAAGATTTAGATTATTGGGATAGTTTAGTAGTTTTTTGCAATAGCCATCATTGACCTAGTTTGAGATCAGAGACCTAAGCATATTGATATGAAGTATCATTTCATTAAAGAGAGTGAATATGATGAGATTACAGTTGGAAGGATATTCATATATTATAATTTATTGGCATGCTTATAATGGTGATCTCAGATTATAGGTTCAGGCAGTGCTTAGTCTTGCACTCTATAACTATGGCTTGTAATAGCCCAATTTTTAATCATCAAGTTATTTATTTGGCCTCATAGCCTTATGGTTTTATACCTTCGGTATAAATTTCCAGGAGGTCAGTCATTAAAGGAGTCCGCTCGTATGTGAACACTTCAGAGTTTCTAATGGAACTACAATCATTACAATAAAAACACATCAATGTTTAAGATTTTAGCTTTATTTTACTTTAGATGTGTCGCAATCTCCTCTATTTTAAATAGACGTCATTGTCGATATTCTTAACCTTTAATACATTATCATTCATCAAGCATATAGGATTTTATGCCCCCTATAGGTTCAAGAGGTAGCTTCTAATAGGTAGTTTCTATATCAATATGAGCTCAAGCGGCGACTCTCATGATTTACCACTTTGTCTTGTATGATATTTAGTTTTTATTTTCAGGCTAATATATTACTCTGATACTATTTGTGATATTTTAAAATTTTCGTGATCGAAATATTGTCTGCCTTGACCGAGTAGCTTCACGATTTTATTCTAAAGTGACTCACTATGTGCTTTTAGATATAATTTTCTGTTTAATTTTGCAGGCCATGGTATCTACTAAAGATAAGCAAATTTTGGATTTTTTTTTAATCACAGTGTACTTTCCTATTATTCTGATTCATGTATTACTGCACTTTTTAGTGTTTTGAATAACTTTTTAAAAACCTATATTATTATGAATCATATGTGCCATTGCAATTAAGGCTTCGTTTGGGATGGCTTTCTTTCGGCTTCTTAAAGCAGCTTTTTAGTATATTATTAAAAAGTTTCTTTAAGAAGCAGTCAGAAAGCCGTCCCAAACGAAGCCTAAATCCTTAAGGATGTGTACTTGAAATGTCGATGCGGCCCAATGTTTGTGTAGTAATTCTTGGAATTAAAAATAATGGTGAAATGTGACCTTTCGTCAAGTTATACTAATGGAATAAAATCGTGATTTTATTAAATCATAGCGGATAATATCTCAATAGTTTAGAGTTTAGGTTGCTATACATTATGTAATTGAGAGTTTATTATAATTCATATTTTAATTTTGGGCTTGTTTGAGATAATTTTTTCAGTGCTTTACTTTTCAAATAGCAACCATTATTTCATTTTGGTATTATTTTGTTCAAGACTTTGTGAAATCTATTAATTTCATGGGTAAATATTTGAGGTTATTCTAGCTATGCATGTAAATTCTATTAATTTGCACCATTTCATCTTTTCATAGTGAGTCTTATCCATCCATCCCGCCCCCGCCATTACCATCGCCCGTCTACTTCTATGGGGATGAGGCAACAATTGGGACGGCTTTTTTCGCGGTAGCAATTGTCGCTGCTCCATCTTTTGATAGTGAACGTGGTGCGCTTTTATTTGGGGAACGGGGGTATCCACCCGCTGTCATTTTCTTATGAGGCGTATGACGGCGTAACTAATTCTTCGGCGAGCCTTTTAGCAACCAGCCTCACAGCCACAATTATTGGTCAATCGTTGATTGTTGTCACTGCCATTAGTCGTCAGGTACTATATAAAATGTTGCCGCCATTGTTGCCGGCCATCATCAACCATTCAACCACGTGGTTAACCGCTACTATCATTGCCGACAATCATCCATCACCTGCCACTACCTGCCGTTGACCGCAGGCATGCTAACCTAAATCAATTCCTTTGATTCAATCAATCATTCAAATTTAACTGCTCCTTAAATAAAATTAATTAACCACCGAATTCCATTTTGACCTCAGGAAAACAGTCAAATGGGCCCTCTCTGACACTTTTTGTCTTTTTCATAGCAGCCCATTCATTCCATTTGGCCCATTACCACATCCCTCCAACTCTCGTTAGGCCCGCCAAATGTATGGCCACCACAGATGACGTGTCCTTTTTTAATTGGTCTTCGAATACTATTGGCCCACGGGCTCACAATCATCCTTCGCAGGCCAGTTGGAGCGGGGCCCACTTTCTGACACTCAAAACATTTATTTCTTTTGGAATTTTAAGAAATTTTTAATTTGTGCTTTGGTCTTCGTGTTTGACCAACTTGCCCCCTTTGACTAACTTTAATTACTAGATCTGCCCGAAGTAGGTTATTCCCTATATTACGAAATTGCCCTCGCGTTGCCATTTTAGACTTGGTAAAGTCAAAAATCCACGCTGTAAATCTTGACTGGCTTTAATGTGCCTGAGAGAATTGTTTAGGGGATTTTTTTTTAAGGAGTATGATAGTTAATTTAAATTAGGAATATAAATAGAGTATTAATTTTTTTTTTTAAAATAAGTAAATTATCCAAATAAAATGGCACATTCTAAAGAATATACCAAACGATTTGACGCATTTATCCCAGTCAGCCGAACTAAATTCTAAAAATATTGTAGCAGTGCGCCAAACATTTTAGCGCTGTTGCGGGCTAGAAAATACGCGACGATAGAGATTTAATTCTACGTCTTAGCGTTGTACGAATAACTAGCTCACACACAGAGAAAACAAGATTTTTTACGTGGAAAACTCTTAGAAAGGGAAAAAACTACGGGGCCTAGCCCAGTTGAAATGAATCCACTAGACTTTGAGTTGGTTACAAAGGACTGAATCACCTCCAAGGGTGATCAGATTAAAATCAGTTACTTAAGTAAGACGTCGGGTCTTCGGCAGGATGTAAGGACCGAGTGTCGGGCCTTGAACAGAATGTCGGGTCCTGAGTAGGACGTTGGGTCTTCGACAAGATGTAGGGACCGAGTGTCGGGCCTTGAACAGGACGTAAGGACCGAGTGTCGGGCCTTGAACAGGACGTAAGGACCGAGTGTCGGGCCTTGAACAGGATGTC